CGCTCGCTCCGTAATAAAGTATAAACTCCATAGAATCTCCAAATGTGTTTTTCTGTATGCATCTACATCTTGAAACGGTAAGGCACTGGTGAATCTGTATAATTATTTTTGCGATTTGAGTTTGATGAACATCATAAAAACATGTTGAAGCAGCCTTCGCAGAAGACCCGTTTGTAGCTGCCGACCCGTAAATAAAGCGTATCAACGTCTCGTTTCTATACCATCCTGAGGTAGGTATCAGCACCTCAAAGGCGCTCTGTGCGACGAACGAGGCGCAGAGTGCGCCAGAAATAGGACCGTGTTTGCTGTGAAAACGCTGAAAGTTTATTGAAGCGTAAGCAAACATTTAAGCTTCATGGACTTGCCCGTTTATTCACTTGACGAGGGCGGCAACTATGGAAGGGATGGTTTTGGAAAAAGTGTCCTTGTTTCGGAAAAATGCACATGAAAATTAAAAAGTGATCCCAGTATTGCTACCCTGCTCCAATTCTTTTCCAGCCGGTACAAACAGTTTTAACTAGGCCGGATGCATACACACCGACACTTTAATTTCGACTTCGCCATTTCTAATTTGTAACGAAAAATGCAGGTGGTGGGCTGGTCGGAAGTTGGCGCAGCGAACTCGTCCAAAGTTTGTCGGATTTGACACAGCTATTGATCATCTGATCAGTTATGCGCGGCTGACTGCAGGTGCAGGAGCCAGCGACAACTCCCGGCCGCCTGCCGAGCAACTCAGAGAGAAAGGCCACCGGGACGCATTCGGAAACATTAGCCGATTGGGGCCGTCGCGACGGTGCGAAGCAACGACATCAAAACACAGAGTTGTCGACATGCCGCTCAGAGTATATAGACAACCGGATTTCCGATCACAACAAAGCCGAAGTACTTTCTGGAAGATTTTCTTGAAGGCGTTTTGACTGTTGGTGTACTGACTGTTATGAATTTTCAGTATAGGTAATACGTAGAATTAGTGCGTTAAACGAAAAGGCTCGAAAAGACATTTCTTTTTCGCAGCGCCCACACCCCTTTCCTCCCCACCAACCGCATTTTCTGTACGAATGGCTGCCCACAGAATTGACTGAACAGTGTCGCAGCCCTTGTCTTTTCGTCCACTGCCAACTTCACAGCTATTTGTCGTCAGAGATGACCCTATCTCCGCCGCCTGACTTTTAGAATGTCACGCTGCGTTCATAAATTGCAGGACGCATGGGCCGTGAGGAGCGGCTGCGGAGTGGAACATCCAGTGCCGCATACGACCGGGGATCTCCATGGAAACAAGACAACCACGGCGCAGCTCATAAATGAAGACAACTCCGGAAATAACCCAAGCTGAAAATGTAGTCCATTAGCTTCTGAGTTAGTCTGAGGTCCAGGGCTGCGGAGTCGATGGATTTTCGGCGACTCCAACTCCGACTCCGACTCCGGCTTTCAAAAACCAGCTCCGACTCCGACTCCGACTCCGGGCAGAATTGTCGACTCCGACCGACTCCAACTCCCGACTCCGACTCCGCAGACCTAGCAGGGCTGCGGAGTCGACAGATTTTCGGTGACTCCGACTCCGACTCCGGCTCGGGTTTCTAAAATCGACTCCGACTCCGACTCCGACTCCGGTCACACCTGTCGACTCCGACCGACTCCGACTCCGACTCCGACTCCGACTCCGCAGCCCTGCTGAGGTCCGCGCGCAGGACCGTAGTAAAAGAGACTTGTCTGAAGGATAGTCTTGAACTACATGTGTGAAACTCAATACGGAGTTATAAATGTGGCACATTTACCCCAGCACATAGCAAAAGTAAATACGCATTACATATGGATTTGCGGCTGATGCTCAACACAAAATCTGCTGTTTGTAATTCTTATTTACAGGGTGTCCCAAAAGTAAGGTCATCATTTATTTTTGGTATATTTGGTGGGTTTAATTTGTTCGGAAATTAACAAATAAAAACAAAAAAGGCAAGCTGAAATAAAATCAGTGCACTGATTTTGTTTTGTTTCCATTGAGACAGGAGAAGACAACAGTTTGCATCATTTTCAGAAATGCAGCTTAAAAGTTGCCATCCATGGAACATCAGCCAACAAACCTTCCAATGTTAAATGCATGCTCTGACTACAGATATCGCTCATGCAAAAGTCGCTCATGACAAATAGCAAGGACGTGACGGTGCCTCAAACCACAAAATTTCTGAAACAAGGACCGAGCAAATGTCCAGCGGGTTCGCTGTAAAATGTTTGACATGATGTTGCATGCGATTCATGGCGACGTGGCGTTTCCCCTTCGTTGTAACTCGCAAGGTCACCCATAGAGCCTCAGGGGCCCAGACGAGTGCGACAGTACTTCGCTCTGGCTACCAGCAATAAACATGTAGCCTTATCAATTTAATGAGAGGGAGGATCACCATAGATCAGCACACTCGTGTGAAGAAGCCTGGACTGGAGAATTTCGACGCATATCTACGGCGCTGCACTGGGTTGTTTGCAGCTACAGAAACTCCACTGTTTGCAGCTGAAATACGATGCCAATGAATCAAGTTTCAACAACCTTTCAAACTGAAATTCGACGGTTCTTCCCTATCAGTTATCAATCGAGTCTCAACTCTCAATTTGATCATAGGAGTGCCCTGCTACAACTGGCAAACCTCAACTAGGTATGGAGGAGATATAAAATGTAAGAAATAGTTAAATCCACGAGCGGTATGTATAGGGAAAAAACAACGGATCCAATGAGTCTAATTTATAGCAGCGACAAATGTCACCAAATAGCGTTATCGGCAGCTCGGCTGGATCCCCAGTCGTCGGTCTAAAAACGCCTCTCATTAGCAGCGGCACCGAGAACGATGGGTGAGCGCTGACGATGGCAATCAACGCTCCCCAACGCGTCATTATTTAAAGCAATCTACGAGAGTCGTGCTCCGAGAGATTGACAGGGCTCGTGAGTTATTTACACTAAAATGTGTCGCCCCCGGTGATAAAGCACGCCTTTTGCTCGGCTTTTCTGTCAGACTGATGGGCGGCAAAATACACAAAGGGTTTCCGCGGGTATGTCTTTGTTTTCTACGCCCCATGGAGCGCATCATATCAACGCCAATGGTTGGCGGTGGCGGCATCAGCGGCGCTACCGTCTGATGAGGCAGCTACCCCAGTCGCCGTCATGGCGCAGATAAGGGCGGCGGAGCGTCATTTTTGCCGCCGCTGCGCTATGAGCGCCGCGGAGCGTGTGGACGCAGCTGTTTAGAGCCTGTGCCGCAGGCGAGTCTCTCAGGATCAGGAGGGGAGCGGTATTCAGCCTCAGGCAGAGCGGTACACAGCACACACAGCCTCAGGCAGAGCGGCACACAGCACACACAGCCTCAGGCAGAGCGGCACACAGCACACACAGCCTCCGGCAGAGTGGCACACAGCTGCCCCCTGGCAGAGCGGTACACACCCCCGGGCAGAGCGGCATACAGCACACACAGCCTCCGGCAGAGTGGCACACAGCACACACAGCCTCTGAAAGAGCGGCACAAAGTCCCGACAGAGCCGCACACAGCCCCCGGCAGAACGGTGCACAACTACGCAGCCCGTCGGCCTGTCTGCAATTGGGGCACACAGCCTCTGGCCAGACCGACGCCGAACAATCGAAAGTGAGGAACGGGACAGCGCCGGAGGTGAAATGTAGCGGCACGGTGGTGGCTTGGTATTGCTGAGTTTTATCTCAGTGGAAACAGATCTACCGCAGAAGGATCGCGTACAGGATCGCTTTTCCACCTTAAAAGATGAATAATTTCAACATTTGTTTGACGTAAACTGATTACACAGCAGTTCTAGGATATATGTCTAATAGGATCACGTAATTTCCCAAGTGTTCGTCTTTTATTACTTTCCATCTCTTGCGTGTGTTGTTAAGGGTGACAGTAGCGACACATTAGCGGCAGAGACCACCTCTGCAGTGTGCAGCTATTTCGGACGTCCGTATTCACATAGCTGTTTGAAATATGTGTTCGGCTGTGTGAGCATTGTCGCGCATGGTTTATGTAGGCATGTCTCAGAATCCAGGTGTAGGGGAAGTTGGGGCAATGCCGGAGTTGGGGCAAAGCCGAAATTCGAGATATTTCGAAAACCGTAAGACATGGATGCCACCTGTCAGTGATGCTCTGAAGCTTAAGTGACTACAATTATCGCATGTTTGTTACGAGTCGTCATTCGGAATACTTCGACTGTGAGGGCGCCAAGAGCGTTTTCAAGGTACGTTTCCCTTATACTACATGTGCCTTTGAAGCTGCATTTCTTACTCATTATGCTACCGTTTGTCTGGCCAATTCGGTCAAGTAATCTTTAGCATGTCTTTGCATAAGTGTGCTGCCTATTTGAAATTTATACAGGACGTTGAAAAGTTATGGGCCTGCAAATGAAAGTATGGCAGGCTGGGGTAATGCCGAAAACGTGCGATTACGAACGTGTTAAAAGCACGCTACGTGGACTTAACTGCTGTAGAATAGCAACGCGTGTTTTTAGTCACACAAATTACACTTTCAACCGACACAACGGCCTGTTACCTATAAGGAATGATTTACCTGGCATTTTCTTATTATATCACACAATCATAACTTCCAGTGTGCACCGCGTCCTCAAGCTCTTAAAACGCGTGTCAGCTTTGATAAATTCTGGATAAAGTTTGAGATAAAATGGCAAAACATCAATGTCGGCATTCCCCGTAGATCATTTCTCCCATTTTCGGCTTTCCCCGCAGTCCGGGACAACGCCGAAAAAGTCACTTCTTTGATATTTTTAGTTTGTGCGCCTAACGGTATGCGAATTCATCAAATGCGCCTGGTATGTTTGAAAGGCAAAAGACTGGCCTCTCGAATGACGCCAACAAGAATAGCTTATGTTGTCTACCTTGCGTGCTACGGGCGTCAGAAAAAAGTCTTCGGCGTTCCCCCAACTTCCCCTACGTACATACACATTCTGCAATTGTTTTTTAGATCCTGGCTCTTTTTAAATCCCTGCAGGGTACTCACCATGAAGGCGGAGACATTTTGACGGAGTCGCTGTCATCTGTCATATTCGAAGTCCGACGGTTCTCCTGCAAACAAATAGGATACGATATTAAGGTGTTAGGTCCGTTTTGACGCAGACACAATGAACGATGGGCCGATGAAAGAGATAACGAACTACTCGGACTCTAACGACAGTAGACATAGGCGGGGGAACGGGGGGAGCACTGGGGCGCACCCCCCTTGATTTTGGCATTTTAACATTAGCCCTATGGGCGTTGCTTGGAAAGAATGGGAACAAAAGTCGACAGTGCCCCCCCCCCCTTCATTGAAGGTGTTCCGCCGCTACTGACAGTAGACTGAAAAATGATCTGACATTTTATTGAGATTCGTCAGTCATTCATCTCTGGTCGGGATAAAACCATCATCAGTTAACAGTCAGGTCACATACTGCGCTCAGGTACACTCGGGGGCAGATTGATGTTCCACAACTCTTTATCCACCGGGTTCCTATGGCTCAGCATTGGCAGCAGCCGCCTGGTACCGGTAGACTGTGCCGCTTCACTTACTTGTCAAGCGGCACAGCCTACCCACCTGTATGACACCGGTCTGGGTCGGTGGCTGGAAGGCGATGTGGGCCGCCTGTGACGTCAGCGCAGCGGTGAGGGCCGAGCCCGGAGGCATGGCTCGGGTCGGCGCGGCGCGGCGTCTGGCGAGGGCTGGGGAGTGAGGTGGGGTAGGAGCACGGACCATCGCGCGGCTGAGCGAGTGTAGTTAACTTTCGCGTCTCAAGGCGCCAATTATTCTACCTAACAATTGTGCTAAAGCAGTTGTTAAAATGTCCTATCCCGAAGACAGCGCCTATCATCATACTTGCCATGCACATTACGACACACTTAAACGTGACATTGGGACAGCCGATAGAATTTATATCACACGTGCATCGAGTTGCGGAGCTACATTGTTTTTAACAGATATGTATTAAGGCCTTGATTGAGCTCATTGGTGTCTATTATTTCGCACATCAATCGTCCAGAGACGTGGGAACTGGGGTTTTTGGATAGCGCGGCGTCCCAACTCTTATGTTCCTCTAATGTGTGGTCGCAGCCACCAATAGCAAACCGTTCCATCTAGGAACAAATAAGTCACGCACCTGGGACGGTTCGAACCGGGTTTCTCCAACCGGTCACCCCACGACACTAGCGTGTATCCACTGAGCTGCCGAAACCAGCGACCACCCGCCGCGGTCAAACGCGATCAAATGTCACAATACTGTCATTGGCGGTCAGCGGGTGAATGTCATTTTGTTTTGTGCGGACGAGGATCATTCTCAGTAGCTCAGTGGATGAACGCTCGTGTCGTGAATTGGCCGGTGGGAGAAGCCCGGTTCGAACCCCCCTGGGTGGCCGACTTTTTGGCTCCTAGTTGGAATGGTTTGCTATTGGAGGTTGCGAACACATATTAGAGCAACAGTAATAATCGCTTTAAATTGGAGCGTTGGCTGCGGCACTACTCATAACCCCCAGTTCCCACGTCTCTGGACGATTGCCGTGCGAAACAATAGACACCAATCTGCTCAATCAAGGCCTTAATACTAATATAGCTCCGCACCTCGATGCACGAGTGACAATTGACATAAGTTCTATCGGCTGTCCCATTGCCACGCTTAAGTGTGTCGTAATGTGCATTGCAAGTATGATGATAGGCGCTGTCTTGGGGATAGGACATTTTAACAACTGCTTTAGCACAATTGTTAGGTAGAATAATTGGCGCCTTGAGATGCAAAAGTTAACTACACTCGCTCAGCCACGCGATGTCCGTGCTCCCACCCCACCTCACTCCCCAGTCCTCGCCAGACGCCGCGCCGCGCCGACCCGAGCCATGCCTCCGGGCTCGGCCCTCACCGCTGCGCTGACGTCACAGGCGGCCCACATCGCCTTCCAGCCACCGACCCAGACCGGTGTCATACAGGTGGGTAGGCTGTGCCGCTTGACAAGTAAGTGAAGCGGCACAGTCTACCGGTACCAGGCGGCTGCTGCCAATGCTGAGCCATAGGAACCCGGTGGATAAAGAGTTGTGGAACATCAATCTGCCCCCGAGTGTACCTATGTACTCTGGTTGCACCGGCTTGTGCTTCATGCCCGGGCCGTACTCCGGGCATTACCCACGCAGCGTATTCCGGCCATACTCCAGTCTTATTCTGATCATACTCCGGTCGTATTCTGACCGTATTCCAGCCGTTTTCCCGGTTTTACCCTCCGCGAGTACTGCGGACCAAGGTAGCACCGCCACACTCCGCTCCATTGGCCCCGATCACCTATGGACATCTGAGCGGCGACCCCACTCCGATATTGGTCACCTGAACGGCCATCCGTCTCCGAGGGCGTCACTCGCTCTCACTCGGTCACTAGAGGTGATCAGCCTGAGCCGGAAATATAGCCGCCGGCGGCACTGAGAGCCGTGGGCACTAACCCGCCGTCCGACGCACGAGGGACCGCCCCAGTAGGTCACTCCGACGCTGAACGAGCGCAAAGCAATTTACTTAGAGTGAAGGAAGGATGGATTTTGGCGATTCCGCGCCCGTAAGTGCAGGGTTAGGGAAAAGGTGGATAAACATCACGAAGCATATGGTATAAAAGGATGCCTACTTTATTTCGCGTATTTGATAAGGGAAATGATTATGTTATAGACACAATTATTGAGCACCTAAACCTAGGCATTACATTAATTGATTACAAGTATACCTACTCACTGAAAAAAATCAGCCGAAATGATTTTCTGAAAGAGCATGGACTTGATAAATTACGATCACGAAAGAAAATAAAATGTAGAAACAAATGCATCTTGTATCATGCTTCGTTTTCTATAGCATTGTGAAATTTCGCCCTAAAATAAATATGAATACATCATTCCCTCTTCCTCTGCCCGGATCCATCACAATGCGACACTTCCAGTCTCTCTCGGGTGCGTCCCTTTTCATAGTGTAATATACCGGTGCCCTCAGTGGTTTGGCCGGCTGCCAAGTCGCGCCGGGCAGCAGCTGACTGCCCGAGGGAGGGGCCAGCTGTCTGGGTCAAGTGCAGGTGGGTCGCCTGCGACCGCCGCCGGCCGGCGTTATCACTGCAGGCGCCGCGGGAGGCCGGCTATTTGCGGTGCCTGTCGGGCGCGAGCGGTGCTGGCACCGGGCCGGCCGGTGCCACCGCGGGGTCGGCGCGGCCGGCCGGCGCGGCCCTGGAGGACAGGCCATACAGCCAACGCCGCGGGCTGGTCGGTCATACTACAACGCCGCAAGCCTACAGGCCGCGGTTGACATTACACTACAGGGCCCAGTGGCGGCGGAACACCTTCAATTAGGGGGGGGGGGGCACCGCCGACTTTTGGTCCCATTTTTTTCCATGCAACGGCCATAGCGCTAATGTTAAAATGCCAAAATCAAAGGGGGGCACGGTACCCCGGTGCCCCCTCGTTCCGCCGCCTATATGCTACAGGCGATAAAGGCCATACAGGAAAGGACAAATCTGCCTTTCAAAATTGCAATGTCCATGTTTTACTGCTCACTTCTGTTGTGTATTGGTTATGCGGCCCATACGTTCAATTCCAGCGACGCGCAGCAAAGCAATTAATTTTCGGCGCACCAAATCAATTGAATGAGACTAGGATCATTTATTCTAAAATGTATTGTAACCGATGCGAGGAAAGGTCACAAATGCAGTGCAAATGGCTCATATGAATGAATAAATGGATGGATGAATAAATGATGAGTGTTCTGGAAGGCATTCAAATTAAATATTCATATGTTAAAAACTTAAATTGAAAATAAATATAATTATTTCCTTCATTTAACTTCAATACAAGTTTTAAAATACGTACAAACATATGAATTTTCTCATTTGAAGGCTTTCCAAAACACTCATCAACATCTGTCAATCCACAAATCCTAAATGGATTAATAGATTTGTGTTAGCCAACAAAACAATACACAAGACGGATGTGTCAGCACTAGCAGCCAGCACGAAATGTTCAGAGCGCTGACACAACAGTATTTTTGCTCCCGCCAATTAGCGATGATTGTAAGACAACTTTAACTTAACCCTCGCCCGCACATGCCACTTTCCCATCCTAGAACGCACATGGGGGGGGTGGTTGCCACCCCCCCCCCCGCGCCATTTCGTTCTACATTTAGCGCCAGGGCTGCATTGTGGAAGAATGCTGGATGACATCCTGTATGCATTGGTTATAAGAATTATAGGTCATGTAAACGTAGGGCCGATACACCATTCGGCATTCACACGTCTACATAAAGACGACAAGGGTGCGATGTTATTCAGCTCTCACACTTCCCTGCATCACTTACCTGGTTTTTAGAATTCCTTGCCCACGGCGGACTGTTTATTCCAAACCAGAACTGGTGCGCCATTACTTCTCGGAGCGGGTCGCTGCTGCCTCTGAGCTCTCTCCAACTGTCAAACGGAAACAGCTGTTCAGTCACACATCACAGTTGAAGTTGCAGTTGCAGTTGCAGATGACAGTCGACTGAAGCATGATGAAACACTAAAACAACGCCTATCCATTTACACAATAACGTGCAATCTGCGTTGCGCCGGTTACGCCCTCTAAATCTGTATCATTACTGTGGTCCGCGCCAACCACGACGTGATCGTCGTGGGGTGCATGGGGGTGAGCTTGTTTCATGAGATATATCCCGGTATTATTGTATTATACCTACTCGGTCCCTTTTGGAAAACAGTGCTATTTTGCTTTAAGATTCTTCGACGGGAGACAATAGCACAAACTTAGTTCGCCTTTTCAACTCGACGTCAACGCAAAAAGAAACTGGATGAAGCAAGTTAATACGAAGTCACTCCAATCACCTTTCTCAGCTTGAAGCTTGCGGAACATTCATTCAAGTAGGCAGCCAGCTGCCAGAAACAGAAGGCTGCGATTCGGGTAATGTCGCTGGTTTCGTTACGTCCCTGAATATGCACTACGCCGCGCGACACGCATGTCTTGCGGGACAGCCTATATTCAGGCAGCGAACGGCCGCGTCTGCGTATGCCGCAGTGGTCGGCAGGTCATTCGGGGTCGTGCCCCCTTTTTGGGCGCCAGGCAGGGCCATTACCCCCACCTACCAGACCCCATTGCTGACACAACTATGTTAACTGAAATTCCATACCGTCCTGGAACTCTTTGGGTATTTGTGCATTTCCAATGCATCAAATTTAAAACATGACACTTCCTCCACAAAACATTTAATGCCTATATCCCAGTAGCGGCGGAACACCTTCAATTAAGGGGGAGGGGGGAACACTGCCGACTTTTGGTCCCATTCTTTCCATGCAACGCCCATAGGGCTAATGTTAAAATGCGAAAATCAAAGGGTGCACGGTGCCCCGGTGCCCTCCCCGTTCCGCCGCCTATGCTATATCCCATTTAACCCTTGTACGTATAGGGGCGGCGGGTGGTTTTTCGTTAAAAGCTCACGTAAAAGGCATTGGATCACGACCAAATTGTACCCTCGAGCCCATCATTTTTTTTCACCAGCCCGGAAAATATCATGACCTGAGACCAGTTTTACCAACAGAAAAATAACCGCCTGCCGGAATTTTTGCCTCAAGACCGCTTCACATACGGAGCGTAAACGCAATGGGCTCGTAAGCGGATAGGGCTTTACCGTTTACGCTCCATATGTGAAACGATCTTTAGGCAAAAATTCCGGCAGGCGGCTATTTTTCTGTTGGTAAAACTGGCCTCTGGACCCATAATGACCGTTGGCTTATGAGCTTTTTCTGGAGATCATCTTGAGCCATAAAATCTCACTTCAAGAAGTTATAGCGGGTCCCGATTTTCTCGACACTTATCATTGCCCTCTTGAATGAGACGGAATGACCAAGGACCTTAAAAATGGGCAGCAGCGGCTTCCTATGGTCACGGGTAGCACGCTCGTCTTTTTTATGCACAGCTCCATATCAGAGTCCGAGAGGCCGCGGGGGTCCGATCGACTCCTCCCCCTTACGTTAGCGGCTGTTGAAACGCCAACAGACGGGCGACGGTTAAAAGTTGCAGCTGCTTTTGAACGACTGTACGGAGGGGTGAGATGGTGAGGCGAGCAGGTACGTGAAAATTGGTATCTAATCAATAGTGTGCTGTGCCTTTGGCAAAAATCTTTGAACCCTGGGATGCAACAGTCACGATGGCTCCATCACTGGAGCTACAAACTCTAAAAAGATAGGCTGTTGCGAACGAATTGAATCCGACCCGATCGACCGGTAAAGTTACGAATAAGCAAAATCCGAATAATACAGAAGTCGAATTAAACTTGTTCCGAATCGATCAATCTATATTGTCCGCCATTTTCTCCTTCTAATTTTCAACGAGTTCATTCACACGACAACAATAGCACCGACGAAATTCCGATTGCGTGAAAATATGCAAAATGGCGCGTGCCATAAAACACTGGAGCCGCTACGGCGGCGACATCCTCCCCCCCCCCCAAGAGTGACCCGTCGTCACCCTTGGCACCATGTCCATCGATACACACACTGGGCAGAGCGCAGTTGCGCCACTAATCATCATCATCACCACTCCCCTCGAGGAGACACACTTTGCTAGCACTAGCAGGACGGCGGAGACGTCCTTTAGCGGTCACTATATCCACAGAACGGTCAACGGACACGACCATCGGGTCCAGGGTACACATGAGCGACTCGAGCCAGCGGCCACAGTCCCTTTGGCGTGTCGTCGCCGGCTAGCAGCACCAAGTCTCCGACGCGCAGGTTCCGAACGTCTGACGTCCATTTGGTGCGCTGAACGAGGGTGGGGACGTATTCCCTGAGCCATCTTCGCCAGAACTGTGTGGCTATGGCTCGTGCTTGCCGCCAGTGACTCCTGACATTCATTCGTGATGAGTCACTGAGCTGAGACGGCAGGAGACACGCCGGTCTGCCGAGAAGGATGTGACTGGGAGTGAGCGCTTCAAAGTCACTGGCTTCTGAGCTGACGTGTGTCAAAGGTCGACTGTTGATGACCGCCTCTACTTCTGCGATAGCGGTCAGTGGAGCTTCTTCATGAACGATGAAGTTTCCAAGGACTACTCGGAGTGCTCGTTTCACGGTTGCCACCATTCGCTCCCAAATACCTCCCATATGGCATGCGGTGGGAGGATTGAAAAACCAGCGGATGTTGTCTTGGGCGAGCCGATCACTGATGCAGCCTTGATTAAGGTCGGTTAGAAGACGTCGGAGTTCAGCTTCCCCTCGGCGGAAGTTGGTTCCGTTATCCGAGTACACCGATGCTGGCCTACCGCGACGAGCGACGAAACGCTGGAAGGCCATGAGGAACGATTCGGTGCTTAGAGATGTCGATAGTTCGAGATGGACTGCTCTGGTAGACATACATGTCACCAGTAGACAGTATCGCTTCTCCGTCTTCCTGCCTACTTTGGTGAGTATCGGGCCGAAGTAATCGATGCCGACGTTGCAGAATGGGTGTGTCACAGCTAAGCGCGCTTTCGGAAGCGCAGCCATTCTTGGCGTTTGAGGCTGGGCTCGTCTTCGTCGACAGAGCGGGCAGGCTGACAGGATCTTCCGCACTGTCGCCCGTGCCCTGGGGATCCAGTACAGCTGTCTGGCTTCATTGATGACGTGTTCAGCGCCAGCGTGCAGAAGCTGGCTGTGGAAGTGCATGACTACTAATCGAGTCACTTCACTGCTGCGAGACAGGATCACTGGATGGCGAGCCGTGGCTGGGAGTGGTGCGTTGACGAGCCGACCACCGACCCGAATGACACCGTCTTCATCCAGCCAGGGTGAGAGTGCCAGCAGACTACTTTTGCTAGAGACCGATCTGCCGTTCTTCAGGTCGATCAGTTCCTGATGATACTGATCATTTTGCATCTTGCGCAGAATAAGGTTTTCTGGATCGTTCAACTCTGTCACCGAGACCGTGCCAGCACGGCGCCATTCTTGCTCTTCTTGAGAGCCGTGTCTGGCCACGAAGTTGCAGAGAAACCGCATCAGCCAGGCGACGGAGCGTTTGTAGCGAGTCCAGCTTGAGAACCTGCTGGGGTCAGGGAGAACAATCCCTGTGCTGAGATCAGTGGAGGTGAGATTCACGACCCTGACCTCGGGATCACCATCGTTTATGTCCCTTTGGCGAACCTCTGAAGGCCACTGGTCCGGCGGCTGGCGAAGGAAGGCAGGTCCTTGAATCTAGCGGCTATCCGGTGTCAACTGAGAAGCCGGCAGTCCCCGCGAGCAGTCGTCCGCCGGGTTTAGGTATCCGGGGACATGCCGCCACCGCGATGGTTCTGAGCCTTGGCGAATCTCAGCTATTCGGTTGGCGATGAACGTGTGGAAGCGTCTACTTTCGTTGTTGATGTATTGGAGAACCACCATACTGTCGCTCCAAAAGTTGACTCCATCAATTGCGAGCTTCAGTTCTCTTTTGATGGCGTCTGCCAGTCGAACGGCTAGCACAGCCGCTTGAGTTTCAAGCCGAACGATAGTCATCTTCTTTAATGGAGCGACTCGAGTCTTGCTCATGACGAAAGAGACAGAGATAGTGCCGTCAGCCGATGTCTCTCTGAGGTAGGCCACGGCCCCGAAGGCGAGCTCGGAGGCATCACAAAATATGTGAAGTTGCCGATCATGTGCAGGTGAGTCGCATGCTTTGAAGCTCCGAGGAACTGTGAGTGCTTCTAGGCACGCCAATTCTCCCGTCCAACGAGTCCATTCCTCCGCCGTCGTTCCTGTGAGCTCACAGTCCCAGTCGAGCTTCAGTGCCCACAGCTTCTGCATCACGATTCTTGCGAGAAGGGTGAATGGAGAGGCGAATCCGAGTGGATCGTAGATGGAGGCAGCCATCTGAAGGATACCCCGCTTTATGAGCATATTTTTAATTGACCTAATCCTCAATGTAATCTGAATAAAATGACAAATAGCAAAAATTCGGGTATATTCGATCACAGATCTTTGTCAACCGATACCAGCGGTTGATCAGAGCTGGTATCGGTTGACAAAGATCTGTGATCGAATATACCCGAATTTTTGCTATTTGTCATTTTATTCAGATTACATTGAGGATTAGGTCAATTAAAAATATGCTCATAATCATCAATATGATTTTCCTCACTACGCTAAACTCTCTTAAAAGATACCCCGCTTTGTAGGAGGCACAGTTCGGTGATGAACATGCAGCCTTAGCAGGTCAGTCTCTGCGTCCCACAGCAAACCGAGGACGCGTTCTGTCGGCAGCTGCACGGTCAGATCTGCCGCTGATGGTGTACGTTCGGACTCTGGCACAGCGGCGAGGACGTCACGAGAATTGCTGAGCCATTTGGTGAGTCTGAAGCCTCCTCGAGATACGAGTGCTGTCACTGTTGTGAGGCTAGTAATAGTCGAGTCGCTGTTTGGCTCCGAGCTGAGTAAGTCGTCCATATAGAAGTTGCAGAGAACCGCTTCTG